TGTGTGGCAGTCAGTCACCGCACCGGTGTGGATATTTACTGTACTTCGCAATCATAGATTCTAGCCTATGTCTTGGAATATGACCCAAATATGAATTTTCACCGTATATTGCCATCTGAGCAAGTAAGTAACAAGTCTGCCACGTTTGTTCTGACCAACTGAGGAAAAAAGCATTACCATAAATCTCGCTACCAATGGTGATTAAATCTAAAGGTCGGTTAGCTCATATCACATCAAACTGTTCAAATTATTATTATTGTTATACTTTATTCTCAAATGATTAATGTTAGCAACATCAGCATTGGTGACTATGAGTAGGCCTATAGTGTGTATTAGCGTGTAGATTTACATTTCTGCACAGTCTAATCTAATTTGTCCTACTCTTCGAATTTCATTTAAGAAATTCTTTTAACCCACAAAGCAAACTATGCTCCCTTCGAACTGGTTTTCTTTGAAATACAAATCTTTGTAATCCCAGGGTATCTGTAATAAGAAGCACATTTATAACTGGAATATAATTTAATTTCATTCACATGTGTTTCATAAACACAAAATCCTTTATGGATTACAATCCGCCATCAAAATGATACATTTAATTATTCTGGCTGCTTTGAGAAAAGGCTATAAACGATCGGCCACCTGCAGGATCCTCACATGCGATAGCCTAGTAGCCGGGACAACTTCTTTATGTTTACAGACGTGACGTAATGACGCAGTGCCAAGCTCGAATTTCCCGCAAAAACCTACCCGTACCACTCAAATTAGCAAACATTATTATAAACTAACCGTTGTGAATCGGGCTAAAGTAAGGTGATAGTTTTGAACACTGGCTGGTTATGTACTTGATCAAATGATTTCGGATCATTTTTAACCAAAAAAAGTTACGGACTGCAGCTTTAACTAAATGAGAAAAATAAAAGCTGCCTTGGCAACTAGCTGAATTAAAATAAGTTAGTTTTTTACATATTATTTTATTTCAGTTAACGTTTAAGTTCATTTTATTTCAAGCAAGGTAACACTTTATAATAACTTTCATTAATAAATCATTAACAAATATGATATAATGCTTAACAAATCATTAGTTAATGCTTACATATGTCATTAAATTTTCAATTCATACGACCATGCACTTCTTAAAAATCTACAAATGATTTTAACAGAAATTCTGCAATGATTAAAAGATTATTTGTTATTGTACTTTTGAATGCTAAAAAAATGTAATTTAACTTCAGTTCATATATTTAATGACATATTTAATTCATATATTTAATTTAATGAATCATATAATTTTAATGACATTTGTAAGCATTTTAATTTACACGAAATAATGATCTGTTAATCATTAGGTAATGTTTAATAAGTTTATTAGTAAACATTTCTAGCTATGTGAATTTATATTAACCTATGATCCTTTAAGCATGATATAATGTTTGTTAATGATTTATTAATGAAGTGTATATATATATATATATATATATATAATGAGTCTGTAAACGTTTTTCAAGGAAATGAATACCTTTATTCAGCAAGGACGCATTAAAATGGTTAAAAGTGACAGGAAATACTTTTACAATCAAAGTTCAAAAGTTGCATATGTATGTATATGTATTAACAGATCTCAAGCAATAAATTTGATTTATTTAAAAAAAAAAAGAAAAAAAATATGTATGTACTACTTCAAAAGTTTGGAGTTGGTAAATTTTTTCAAATTTTTTTTAAAAAATAAGTCTTATATGCTCACAAAGGCTGCATTTATTTGATAAAAACAGTAATACTGTGAAATATAATTACATTATTTTAACGTGTTATTTTTGTGATGGCAAAGCTGAATTTTCAGCATCGTTACTACAGTTGGTAACACTTTATAATAACTTTCATTAATAAATCATTAACAAATATGATATAATGCTTAACAAATCATTAGTTAATGCTTACATATGTCATTAAATTTTCAATTCATACGACCATGCACTTCTTAAAAATCTACAAATGATTTTAACAGAAATTCTACAATGATTAAAAGATTATTTGTTATTGTACTTTTGAATGCTAAAAAAATGTCATTTAACTTCAGTTCATATATTTAATGACATATTTAATTCATATATTTAATTTAATGAATCATATAATTTTAATGACATTTGTAAGCATTTTAATTTACACTAAATAATGATCTGTTAATCATTAGGTAATGTTTAATAAGTTTATTAGTAAACATTTCTAGCTATGTGAATTTATATTAACCTATGATCCTTTAAGCATGATATAATGTTTGTTAATGATTTATTAATGAAGGTTATTATAAAGTGTTACCACATTGATTGTAAAAGTATTTCCTGTTACTTTTAACCAGTTTAATGTGTCCTTGCTGAATACATTTCCTTGAAAAAAGTTTACAGACTCAAAACTTTTGAAAGGTAGAGTGTGTGTGTGTGTATAAATATATAGTATATAGCAATTCCTGTGAATTAAAATGATTTTACATTATTTTGCAGGTCACAACAATGCCCGAGTATCTACAGAAAAGATTTGGTGGAAAAAGAATACAGTTATTTCTTTGTGTTTTATATCTATTTATCTACATCTTCACAAAAATATCAGTAAGAATGCTAAATTTAAAAGTGTAATTACCAGAGCGGATTTGCTGATCAGCTCTGGCAATTACACTGTGTTGCTCTGTGTGCAGGTGGACATGTATGCAGGAGCTGTGTTCATCCAGCAGGCTCTGCAGTGGAACATCTACCTCGCTGTGGTTTTGCTTCTTGCCATTACCGCTCTGTATACCATTACAGGTCAGATATTTTATCACTTTTTAGGGCTGTTTACACCAAGAACGATAACTATAATGATAACTGTATTAGCGCCCACACTAAAGCACGATAATGTTCTCTTTATTATCTGTTTCTTTCCCTCAGTCTCTTCAAATGTCTTGTGTGAGTGGGTACAAAATTCAGCAGAAAAATTACTAATTGCTTTATGACAGTAATAATTTGCAGCAGTAAATAGGGAGCACCAAAATCTTAAAAAATATTTTGTATGTCTATGGTAAAAATATATAAAACTACTGCTTACTTGCTTACTTAATTTTACTAATTAAAAAAAAACTCTACACATCAAATAGCCTAAATAAATAAATAAAACTACTGCTTTGAAGTCACATGTATTCTGATTGTCTATTAGTGTTTTTATGGTTCACCAGCGGGAATCCTTTTGAAAGTTATTCCAACAATATCGTTCCTCTGTGTCATTATTGTTATAGTTGTGGTGTGGATGTCCCCATTCTCACAGAATTTGATTCACGATTATTGAAACTTTATAGTTATAGTTGAGGTCCGTTCACACCAAGAATGATAACTATATTAGCATCCACATCACAGATGATAACGCTCTGTTTATTATAAGTCTGCAAGGTTATGTTGTCTGCTGCAAGCATTAAATGTGCAAGCAGCTAAAGTCAGGCAGCTTTTTTTTGTGTGTGTTATAAAAATGTTATAGTTGCAGTGTGGATTTCACTATTCTCATAAAATGTTTGGTAACACTTTATTTTAAGGTGTACTTGTTGCACGTTACATGTACTTACTATTATAATAACAACAATGAATTATGCATAATTACATGCAAGTACCCCTAAACCAAACCCTAATTCTAACCCTAACCTTATGTGACCCTGGAGCGCAAAACCAGTCTTAAGTCGCTGGGGTATATTTGTAGCAATAGCCAAAAATACATTGTATGGGTCAAACTTATTGATTTTTCTTTTATGCCAAAAATCATTAGGATATTAAGTAAAGATCATGTTCCATGAAGATATTTTGTACATTTCCTACTGTAAATATATTGAAACTTAATTTTTGATTAGTAATATGCATTGCTAAGAACTTAATTTAGACCGCTTTAAAGGCTATTTTCTCAATATTTTGATTTTTTTTGCACCCTCAGATTCCAAATGTTCAAATAGTTGTATCTCTGCCAAATATTGTTCTATCCTAACAAACCCTACATCAATGGAAAGCTTATTTATTATAATGTATAATTTTATGTATAAATCTCAATTTCGAAAAATTTACCCTTATGACTGGTTTTGTGGGGGTCTGAATACTTTCCGTACCCACTGTATATGTATATATATATATGCAACTGTGTTCATCTGGTTGTTTTTGCAATTCCTGTGAATTAAAATGATTTTACATTATTTTGCAGGTCACAACAATGCCCGAGTATCTACAGAAAAGATTTGGTGGAAAAAGAATACAGTTATTTCTTTGTGTTTTATATCTATTTATCTACATCTTCACAAAAATATCAGTAAGAATGCTAAATTTAAAAGTGTAATTACCAGAGCGGATTTGCTGATCAGCTCTGGCAATTACACTGTGTTGCTCTGTGTGCAGGTGGACATGTATGCAGGAGCTGTGTTCATCCAGCAGGCTCTGCAGTGGAACATCTACCTCGCTGTGGTTTTGCTTCTTGCCATTACCGCTCTGTATACCATTACAGGTCAGATATTTGATCACTTTTTAGGGCTGTTTACACCAAGAACGATAACTATAATGATAACTGTATTAGCGCCCACACTAAAGCACGATAATGTTCTCTTTATTATCTGTTTCTTTCCCTCAGTCTCTTCAAATGTCTTGTGTGAGTGGGTACAAAATTCAGCAAAAAAAATTACTAATTGCTTTATGACAGTAATAATTTGCAGCAGTAAATAGGGAGCACTAAAATCTTAAAAAATATTTTGTATGTCTATGGTAAAAATATATAAAACTACTGCTTACTTGCTTACTTAATTTTACTAATTAAAAAAAACCTCTACACATCAAATAGCCTAAATAAATAAATAAAACTACTGCTTTGAAGTCACATGTATTCTGATTGTCTATTAGTGTTTTTATGGTTCACCAGCGGGAATCCTTTTGAAAGTTATTCCAACAATATCGTTCCTCTGTGTCATTATTGTTATAGTTGTGGTGTGGCTGTCCCCATTCTCACAGAATTTGATTCACGATTATTGAAACTTTATAGTTATAGTTGAGGTCCGTTCACACCAAGACTGATAACTATATTAGCATCCACATCACAGATGATAACGCTCTGTTTATTATAAGTCTGCAAGGTTATGTTGTCTGCTGCAAGCATTAAATGTGCAAGCAGCTAAAGTCAGGCAGCTTTTTTTTGTGTGTGTTATAAAAATGTTATAGTTGCAGTGTGGATTTCACTATTCTCATAAAATGTTTGGTAACACTTTATTTTAAGGTGTACTTGTTGCACGTTACATGTACTTACTATTATAATAACAACAATGAATTATGCATAATTACATGCAAGTACCCCTAAACCAAACCCTAATTCTAACCCTAACCTTATGTGACCCTGGAGCGCAAAACCAGTCTTAAGTCGCTGGGGTATATTTGTAGCAATAGCCAAAAATACATTGTATGGGTCAAACTTATTGATTTTTCTTTTATGCCAAAAATCATTAGGATATTAAGTAAAGATCATGTTCCATGAAGATATTTTGTACATTTCCTACTGTAAATATATTGAAACTTAATTTTTGATTAGTAATATGCATTGCTAAGAACTTAATTTAGACCGCTTTAAAGGCTATTTTCTCAATATTTTGATTTTTTTTGCACCCTCAGATTCCAAATGTTCAAATAGTTGTATCTCTGCCAAATATTGTTCTATCCTAACAAACCCTACATCAATGGAAAGCTTATTTATTATAATGTATAATTTTATGTATAAATCTCAATTTCGAAAAATTTACCCTTATGACTGGTTTTGTGGTCCAGGGTCACATATAGTAAGTGCATGTAGTTAATTAATATTACTCAGTACTTAAAGGGTTATTTCACCCAAAAATGAAAATTAGCCCATACATTACTCACCCTCAAGTCATCCTAGGTGTATATGACTTTCTTCTTTCAGACGAATCCAGTCGGAGTTATATTAAAGATGGTCTTTGATCTTTCAAGCTGTTTAATGCAACTCAGCGGGTGTTGCATGCATCAGTCCAAAATAAGTTAAATAAAAAGCGCCCATCCATAAAAAAAGTGTCTCACATGGCTCCGGGTGGTGAACAAAGGCCTGGTGCGATTGTAAGAAAAATATCCATATTCAAAACGTAATAATCATTTTAATGTAGCTTGCGCCGACTGTACACGGAAGCAGCAGGCTGATGACGTATGAGTTCAGTGTTGCGAAAATAAAGTGTAACCAAATGTTGTTGTTTTTTTGTGATCGTTCATCAGATGGAAAAATGTTATAGCTCCAGTGTGGACTTCCCTATTTTCATAAATTTTTTTTTTTGTGATCATTCATCAGATGGAAAAATGTAATAGTTGCAATGTGGACATCACTATTCTCAGAGAATCATAAATGAGGAAGTCTTATAATCTGCTAAAGCATTTCTTCACTGATGTGGTCACAGGTGGTCTGGCAGCAGTGATCTACACCGATGCGGTTCAGACTCTCGTCATGGTGATCGGAGCCCTGATCCTGATGGGCTTCAGTGAGTGACCATGACAATGATGTTGATTGAAGTCCTGAAGCCTTTAATACAATAATAATATACTCTTCTCAATGTCGCTGTGAAGGTTTTGCAGAGGTTGGGGGATTTCAGGCTGTCCTGGACAAGTATCCTCAGGCCATTCCCTCCATCCGAGTGCCCAACACCACCTGCGGAATCCCACGTGAGGATGCCTTTCACATATTCCGTCACCCTGTGACCTCTGACCTGCCCTGGCCGGGGGTGATCCTGGGCATGTCCATACCCTCAATGTGGTACTGGTGTTCTGACCAGGTAAAGAACCAGCAGTGCTGACTGGACTTACTTATTTTAAACACATTACTCATGATGGGTATGATGGCTTCTTCTAGAACTATCAACCCATATATACAGAAGTAGTTCTATCTAAACTGATGTTCAACATCTATCTAGTTCTAGAACTTTCTATATACTGTATTTATCAACCATTTGGAACAATTCCTTAGCGATCGCCTAGTAATCATTCATAAGATCTTAGCAACCACATACCTTCCAAACATAATATATTTTGTTATCGTTCCTGTGTGAAGGTGATAGTGCAACGTTCACTTGCTTCCAAGAACATTGTGCATGCTAAAGGAGGATCTTTGCTTGCCGCTTACCTCAAAGTTCTGCCCTTCTTCATGATGGTGATTCCAGGCATGATCAGCAGGATACTTTACCCAGGTGCGTCACTGAAACAAACACTGAAGTTTAAGGCCTTTGAACGTCTAAAAGCACAATTTGTTATCTTAAAATGTATGTGAATGTGTGTGTGAATTGTAGATGAGGTGGGCTGTGGAGACCCGGATGTGTGTAAACAAGTTTGTGGGAATCCGGTGGGCTGCTCAGACATTGCTTACGCCAAACTGGTCATGGAGCTCCTTCCTGCAGGTATAAATGAGATTCCTTGACTATTTACTTGTATATAGGTTGTTTTTCCATATTTTTCAGTTTCTAGAACAGGTGGCTGCGATTACGATGAATCATTTTCTTCCTCTGTGTTTGTCAAGGACTGAGGGGTTTAATGATGGCTGTGATGTTGGCTGCTCTGATGTCCTCTCTGACCTCCATATTCAACAGTTCCAGCACTATTTTCACCATGGACCTTTGGAGAAACATCCGCCGCACTGCCTCCGAGTGGGAGCTCATGATTGTGGGAAGGTTTGACATCAACAAGCTGATATACACACTAGATTTTAAAGGACAATTGATCAATTTATCTTTCCTGAATATGGCTATTTGCATTTAAAAGTACACAGAAAGACTCCAGCATTGGACAGTTTGGTTGGAAATGAAAATCAGGTTGACACCAAAACCCAATGTTGGTTTGACATCACCCACCATAATTTTGGTTAATTAAAACCATGACTTGAAACCAATGAAATATCAACGTCTAATGATGTTGTTATCTAACGTTGTGTAGACATTAACATTATGATGTTTTAACATGTTGGTTTTTGATTACCATAGGCTACCTCATGATTAACTGTCAGTGTTTAATGTCAATATGATGTTTGAAAGACATTGAATTTTGGTTATTTAGTAGCATGACTTCAAACCAACCAAATATCAACATCAGCATTATTCGTCAGTGTTAATTTGTTAATTTGGTTGGAAATGAAAATCGTTTTGATGCCAACACCCAACATTGGCTTGACATCAACTTCCAACATTGGAAAGACGTTGAATTTTGGTTACTTAATAATGCGTTTTAAAACCAACAAAATAATATCAGCAGTATTTGTCAGTGTTCTACATCAAATTGACATGGGCATTAACATTGTCCTGACATAGAATGGCTGTTTGCATTTAAAAGTACACAGAAAGGCTCCAACATCAGGCTGACGTTAATTTGGTTGGAAATGAAAAATGGGTTGATGCCAAAACCCAACGTTGGCTTGCATCAACCTCTAACATTGGACAGACTCTGAATTTTGGTTATTTAATACCATGACTGAAAACCAATGAAATATCAACATCTAATGATGTTATCATTTACTGTTATGTGGATATCAACATTGTCATATTTAGCCATTTGTTTTTGATTACCATAGGCTACCTCATGATTAACTGTCAGTGTTTAACATCAATATGATGTTTGACAGACATTGAATTTTGGTAACTTTATACCACAACTTAAAACCATCAAAATATCAACATCAGCAGTATTTGTCAGTGTTCTACGTCATATTGACATTGGCCTTAGACATTGTCCTGACATAGAATTCTTGTCACCCGATGTCAGAACTTATATTCAACCAAATATCAACATCTCATGATGCTGGGTGGTAGAAGCTGTTAACAAATAAAATCTTTCTTTCGTTGGTTTGTTTATGGTAAATTAATCTAGTATTGTCATTCTACAACTGCAAATGCTACATTTTGCGCTCTTGTAAAGCTGGACTGTTTCAGCTGCTGTGTATGTGTGTTTCCATGTCAAAGAGTGTTTGTGTTGGTGTTAGTGGTGGTGTCAGTGCTGTGGATTCCTCTGGTTCAGGCCAGTCAGGGTGGGCAGCTCTTCATCTACATCCAGTCTATCAGTATGTACCTGCAGCCCCCCATAACGGTCGTCTTCTTCACGGGATGCTTCTGGAAACGGACCAATGAGAAGGTACAAAACTTGTGTGCTTACAAGATCATGCAAGAGTTTATTTTTTCCCGTTTTTAAATTTGATCTGATTTTGAAAAGCATTCATTAATAATTTGTATAAAATTACACCTATTTTATGGGTAAAATTGTGAATAATTTTTTACTATGGCAAAAGCACTGGTTAGCACAGGTGGGATTTTGCTGTAGTAATCAGAGTGAATATCAAGACCAACAACACCATATATAGTGTGATATTTCTATTTGAAATATATTTTGCTCGTTGCTTTGTCTATTTTGCTCCAGCATTCAGCATTTGAACAGTCAGCTGAGTGAATGAATCAATGACTCACTCATACAGTAGTTGTGTCGCAAATGACCTGCTATACACTATGCACTTATACTGTATATGTACTAAGTAAGCCCATTTCTGCCACAGAATAAAAAAAACATGCTTTGGCAAATCATAATGACATAAAAAGCCAAACTTTTGACAGTCATTATGACATGAAAATTAGATTTTTTTTTTATCTCACAATTTTGACTGTCAATTGTGACGCATAATCATGACTTACTATATCATAGGTTAAACTTTTTATCTTATAATTATGACTCATAATTTAGTTTTTTTGTCGTAATGACTTTCTATCTCATAATGACTCATAATTTTGTCTTTGTCATAATGACTTTCTATCTTATGAGTCATAATTTTGTCTTTTTGTCATAATAACGTCTCATAATGATGACTTAGTATGTCAGTTTCAACTTTTTATCTCAGAATTATGACTTTCATAATTTAGTTTTAATGACTATCTCATAATAATGACTTTCAACTTTTATCTCATAATTATGACAGTATGCCATAATTTCTATTTTTTAATTTCATAAATTTATCTCATAATTATGAATTAGTATCTCAGTTATCAATGGCAGTATGTTATAATTTCAACTTTTTATCTCATAATTGTGACTTTTATCTCATAATTGATTGTCATGGTTTGACTTATCCATCATAATTATGACATAGCATCTCATAATTTCAACTTTTTTAAATCTCATAATTGTTTTACCAAATCATTTTTTCCATCATGCACTCTTTCTAGTGTATGAATTTCAGAAGGTTATTTATCATCTAGCATCTGAGTCTGATAGCCCCTTCTTTGCTTTTTTGAGTGCATTAAGTGTTCAACATTTCACAGTTTTGTTTTGTTTTTTGTTTTTTCACATTAAGCAAGCCCATCATCAGAGTATTTGAAGTGCACTCTTTTGGAATTTTCAGTTTAACACACTACTCATTTATTCTACAAAATAGATAGAGGTCAAATGTTCAGAGGTCAGTGCATAAGTACGCAATTTGGGACACACATGGCCTCTTATTTCATTCATTTTTCGTGTTATGTTGGTGTAGGGTGCATTCTGGGGTCTGATAGTGGGCATGGTGGTGGGCTGTACAAGGATGATTCTGGATTTCGTCTATCCAACACCACAGTGCTATGAGAGCGACACCAGGCCAGACATCATAAGATATGTTCACTACCTATACTTCTCCATCATTCTCACCCTCCTCACACTCATCGTGGTCGTGTGTGTTAGTCTGGCTACAGAGAAGCCCAAACCGGAGCAGGTTAGAAAGCACACACACACACACACACACACGACCAACCCTAACCCAGTTTGCAATTTCACACAAAAAAACTTTGAAACCAGAAATGCCTCTTATAAACCTTAAAGGGATAGTTCACCCAAAAATGAAAATACTGTATTCATTTACTCGCTATAGAAATCAATGGCTAAGGTCAACTCTTTGGTTACTAACATTCTTCAAAATAGTTTCTTATGTTCTCAACAGACAAAGAGAAACTAATACATGTTTGGTACAGCTTGAAGGTGAGAAGGTTAACGTTTCTGGGTGAACTATCAATTTATTTTGAGAAATACGCTCATATACTGGGTTTGTTATTTTCCAGATCAGTCGATTGACGTGGTACACACGCTTTGATCCTGTGAAAGAAAGTGAAGAGGTTGTGGTTTCAGATCTCCAGACGTTTGAGGACGCCACAGTGTACCCAAAAAACATGGAAAATGATGCATATCCTACAAAAGAAGGTACCCTGTTCAATCCATATGCAGGCACAGATACAGTAAATGGTAATGTCAATTGTCCAGTTTATTCGGATCTATTCTCAGTTTTATGCCTATTTCTTTGACTTTAATAGTGCAGTTATCCAGCAGAGGGAAACATTTGACATTTTAAATTTGTTGAAATGAGGGGAAAGATATGAGAATAATATCTAAAATATTGGTAGAAAAATGAAATAGGTTTAAGCATACAATGACACCAAAAATTACTTAGCATTCTACATCACATTTAATATCGGAACATCATTACATAAAAATGGTCAAAAATCCGCAAATAATAATAAAAAAATAAATAAAATCCCCAAAGTATATTCATGCAGGTAAAACTTGATTGAAATGTTTCAATCTGTTTACATGTAATTCTAAATGCATTATTTGTCACCAGACACCTGTAGTTCTGCGTCCAGCAAGGCGGGTTCATCTAAACTCAAATCTGCTCTGTTCTGGATCTGTGGAATAGAGAAGCAAAATGGAGAGAAGCCCAAGTCTCCTCCTCCTTCAGAGACTCCGACATGTTCCCTCGGGGAAGACCCCTGTATGAGACACCTGGTAAACGCCAACCTCATCATCTGTATGTCAGTGACCGTGTTTCTCTTCGCTTACTGGGCATAGTCACTTCCCCTTTATAATGTATTGTGACTGGTGTGAAAGAAAATCTTCATGGAGTATGTACTTAATAATAACCCCAATATGCTTATTTATATATCATCATAAATCAGTTTAACACTTCACCAATTTGTCCTTGTTTCTGTAAATTAAACAGTATTTAAAAAACACCTGAGATATATTTGGTTCCTGCAATTAAGCATTTTATTAGATATATAATCAGAAAACAGCTACTGTGTTGAAAAAATTAATTTGTACAACATTTGTTCATCCGAGGCACTGGAGAACATGAATGAGAATTCAGATGGAGGAAATGTGTACACACGCGTGTACAAAAGGGGGTGAAACAGAAAATAAGAAATCAATATGTACAATTAAGAAAGCCTATTCAAGATAACAGAAAGATCCACAGAAATAAAGACACATACTCATTCATGAAAGGAATGAATGTTCCTGAGCTTGACTGATCCATTAGCCCTTTCATACAACATGAAACAACCCCCTAAAGCTCTGACACAGGATCATACACTTAAAAAAAAAAAAGCATCTTTGGTCATTTTGAGAATGATGTATTTCATAATAGTATGTACAGGGTTTATTTTAATGGCCAACAGTGGATGAGTAAATTGATAATGGTACATACTCCACTAAAGTAAACCCTGTAAAACATTACAATTGTTAAAAACTACTAAACTAATACAAAAACGACTGTAATGTCATAACACTACATTGCAGCAGTATTGCACCCCAGGAAAAAATACTTCAAAGTACAAATTATATTTTTGCATGTAGTAAATCAATTGTATCTGTATAACCGTTGTTTTTTAATAGTCTTTTTTTAATCCAATTTTTGTCCAATCTTAAAAGTATTAAAAGACAAAAGGAATGATTAAAATACATTTGAATAAAGGACATTCACCATGATAACCAACAAAAAGACATCAGTCACACAAACTCAGTGATTTGATTTACAAGGCACATATATAACACTTGTTATGTAAAAAGACATTCATATTTGATTAGAACCCAAACCAGCTTTATGCCATTTGTGAATGAAATCAAGATTGTATAGCATGTTTACATGTGCGTACTGTTTTTTCCCCCCTGGTATATGGTTACAATGTACCAGCATTGTGAGAACAGAGAGATTGTGTAAATGTATTGTTTTCTGTAGGGGTCAAAGGTTAAAGTGAATGGCTATGTTCGGAATAGCATACTACCATACCACGTTCACTACTTGTGCTGTATGTATACGTTGCATGATGGCATACAAATTTTCTGTATGCTTCGAATACCCAGATGACCTACTATAATTGCACACTGTGCTGGGTACCATATCCCACAATGCAATGCATCGACTTGACCTTCCATTTCCAGTGTGACGTTTGAACCAGAAGCAACTGCGATGACTCCTTATTTGATCATTCTCACAAAAGTTAAAACATTTTTTTTTACTTAAATCTGAATGCTTAATACCTATATTTACTCATAAGGTAACTGAGGTCATGTTTAAAATGTTTTTTCATATTGAATACTTTCACATCGTAAACTATTGCAGTAAGTATGCTAGTATTCCATTACGAACATAGCTTTCCATTGGCTGTGTGAAGACTGGACTCCGCCCACCTCACAGGGCGGTGTTTTCTGATTGGTGTTCATCTTCTGGGAGTGTTTCTGTGGTTTCATCTTCCTCAAGCTCCGGGACAAGATCCAGCCCTAGTCCCGTCAAAGATCTCTCCTCTCCATCTCCATCTGCGCAATCATAAAGCATAGTTAGGATATTTCATGAAAGCAATTTATCATATTTACACCAAAATTAAACTTCCAAAAAAACTGACCTTCAAGGAAAACAAGCAATAGTTGAGACACCAAGAATGTATCATTTAACAAAATGCACTTGGATGATAACCAATATTAATATAATTTTATTTAAATTACAGCATTATGAAAATAATGTAGTTTAGTTGTCACAGACAGACATTCAAATAAACTAATATATATATATATATATATATATATATATATTTGGGTTCAGTAAGTTTTCTTAATGTTTTTGAAAAGTCTCTTATGCTCAACAAGGCTGCATTTATTTGATCAAAAAGCAAAAGCAGTAATATTGTGCAATATTATTACAATTTTACATAACGGATTTCTATTTTAATATACTTTTAAAATATAATATATTCCAGTGATATTAAAGCTGAATTTTCAGCATCATTACTCCAGTCTTCAGTGTCACATGATCCTTCAGAAATCATTTTAATATGCTGATTTGCTGCTGAAACTAAATTCTTATCAACGTTGAAAACAGTTGTGCTGCTTCATATCTTTGTCAAAACTGTGATAATTTTTTTCCCCAGGATTGTTTGAGAAATAGAAAGTTTAAAGGAACATCATTTACTCTAAAAAAAAAATATTTTGTAACATTATTAATGTCTTTACTGTCCTTTTTGATCAGTTTAATGCATCCTTACTGAATACAAGTATTAATTCTTCATAGGTTCATAGGAAGGGAGTTACTGCATGTTTAGTTGCATAAAGCAAGCTGGTATTTTATCCTAAAACATGCCACAAAGACACTGGTTAGGCAGCTTGTCATGCAGGTTAACTTGCTGTTAGTCGGGTTAAACAGGCAAAGAAAGCACGTCAGACACACAGATGGAGCTGAGAATACATCAACTGATATGCCCAGAGTTCTTACCATTGCCTGCCACTCAAACCACACCTCACAGGCAGAAGATCACACATCTGTAACAGTGCAACAACGTCACAACATGTTCAGAGGATCAAACACTGATGACCACGAACCAGCAGCCAATCACAATTCAGATGGCTGTGAGCTTCCACAAAGCCAATCCAATCACATCTCAGCCTTTTAAAGTCAACATGAAACACTGTCTGCAACCCATTTTACTTCGATAATGTCACAATTCATTGGATTATGCTAATTACAATCACCACTGGTCAAAAGTTTGGCGTTGGTAAGATTTTTGGCTACACTTTATTTCGATAGTCCACTTTAGACATTCTACTAACTATAAGTAACTTTGTAACTACATGTCAACTACATGTCAACTAATTCTCATTCATTTGCATCTACATGTCTACTAACTCTCAGAGTAGACTGTTAGGGTAGGTTTAGGGTTAGTAGAATGTTGACAAAGAAAGTGTTAGAAGATATTAAGCAGACAGTCTACTAACGGCTAGTTGACATGTAGTTGCAAAGTTACTTACTGTTAATAGAATGTCTAAAGTGAACTATCGAAATAAAGTGTTACCAGAAGTTGATTATGCTCACCCAACGCTGCAATGTATTTGATTAAAAATATAGTTAAAATTGTGAAATATTATTACAATTTCTAACAACTATTTTCCATTTGAATATATTTAAAAATGTTGTTTATTCCTGTTATACATGTTATACATTATCCTTCATAAATCATTCTAAGCTGATTTGGTGTTGCATTATTATTAGCACTCAGTTATTACGGTAATAACGACTCTTATTATTATCAATGTTTAAATTTTGCTGCTTAATATTTAGGTGGAAACTGATGCTTTTTTCCAGGATTTTTAAAAAATCATTAGAAATGTCTTTACTGTCACTTTTGCTCAATTGAATGCATCCTTGCTGAATAAAAGTATTTATTTTTTTTATCCCAAACTTCTGAATGGTAGTGTATCATGGCTTCTATAAAAATAATAATCAGCACAACTGTTTTCAACATTGATACTAATAATAAATGTTTCTTGAGCAGCAAATCGGCATATCAGAATGATTTCTGAAGGATCATGTGACACTGAAGACTGGAGTAATGACAATTCAGCTTTGCATCACAGGAAGAAATTACATTTTAAAATATATTCACATAGAAAACAGTTATTTTAAATCGTTATTATATTTCACAATTTTGATGTATTATTTACTCAAAAAAAAAATGCTGACCATAAGAGACTTCTCTAAAATGTATTAAGTGTATTGTTCTTCAGATTAACATGTACTAACAAACTGTGCACAATAATATCAGGAACGTGTGTTAGGAAAGTAAACAGGGTCGGTTTTGACTTCATGTTGGCTTTTTGGATGAAGTTCTGATGGCAATGAACCACTAAAAAACAGGGTCGTTAAACAATGAAAGTGGTGATTTCTTTAAACAATGCTGTAGGAGCATTAATCATGGTGCTGGTAATGTCATTAAACGTGGCAGCATCGTAGCTCTCTCTCTCATGCAGATGCGGTGTGCAGTGAAGCAGGAGAGCGTCTGAACCTCGGGCCAAACACTGAAGGACTCCTGGCAGCTGCTGATCTTTCCACAACCGCTGGAAACTGATCCGTCTGCTGCAGCATGTGGTTTCACTGACCCAAACTTACCACTAAGATTATTACACACGACGTGAAATCCAGACATGAAGATATGTATGTATGTATGTATGTATGTATGTATGTATGTATGTATGTATGTATGTATGTATGTATGTATGTATGTATGTATGTATGTATGTATGTATGTATGTATGTATGTATGTATGTATGTGTGTGTGTGTGGGTGTGGGTGTGGGTGTGTGTGTGTGTGTGGGTGTGTGTGTGGGGTTGAAAGTCAATTTTGGTATTCAAGTTAGAAGATATTAAGCAGACAGTCTACTAACGGCTAGTTGACATGTAGTTGCAAAGTTACTTACTGTTAATAGAATGTCTAAAGTGGACTATCGAAATAAAGTGTTACCAGAAGTTGATTATGCTCACCCAACGCTGCAATGTATTTGATTAAAAATATAGTAAAAACGGTAAAATTGTGAAATATTATTACAATTTCTAATGACTATTTTCCATTTGAATATATTTAAAAATGTTGTTTATTCCTGTTATACATGTTATACATTATCCTTCATAAATCATTCTAAGCTGATTTGGTGTTGCATTATTATTAGCACTCAGTTATTACGGTAATAACGACTCTTATTATTATCAATGTTTAAATTTTGCTGCTTAATATTTAGGTGGAAACTGATGCTTTTTTCCAGGATTTTTAAAAAATCATTAGAAATGTCTTTACTGTCACTTTTGCTCAATTGAATGCATCCTTGCTGAATAAAAGTATTTATTTTTTTTATCCCAAACTTCTGAATGGTAGTGTATCATGGCTTCTATAAAAATAATAATCAGCACAACTGTTTTCAACATTGATACTAATAATAAATGTTTCTTGAGCAGCAAATCGGCATATCAGAATGATTTCTGAAGGATCATGTGACACTGAAGACTGGAGTAATGACAATTCAGCTTTGCATCACAGGAAGAAATTACATTTTAAAATATATTCACATAGAAAACAGTTATTTTAAATCGTTATTATATTTCACAATTTTGATGTATTATTTACTCAAAAAAAAAATGCTGACCATAAGAGACTTCTCTAAAATGTATTAAGTGTATTGTTCTTCAGATTAACATGTACTAACAAACTGTGCACAATAATATCAGGAACGTGTGTTAGGAAAGTAAACAGGGTCGGTTTTGACTTCATGTTGGCTTTTTGGATGAAGTTCTGATGGCAATGAACCACTAAAAAACAGGGTCGTTAAACAATGAAAGTGGTGATTTCTTTAAACAATGCTGTAGGAGCATTAATCATGGTGCTGGTAATGTCATTAAAGGTGGCAGCATCGCAGCTCTCTCTCTCTCATGCAGATGCAGTGTGCAGTAAAGCAGGAGAGCGTCTGAACCTCAGGCCAAACACTGAAGGACTCCTGGCAGCTGCTGATCTTTCCACAACCGCTGGAAACTGATCCGTCTGCTGCAGCATGTGGTTTCACTGACCCAAACTTACCACTAAGATTATTACACACGACGTGAAATCCAGACATGAAGATATGTATGTATGTATGTATGTATGTATGTATGTATGTGTGTGTGTGTGGGTGTGGGTGTGGGTGTGTGTGTGTGTGTGGGTGTGTGTGTGGGTTGAAAGTCAATTTTGGTATTCAACACTAAACTAAAGATCTGTGTTCAGTTCGGAGTTGAAATAATGGATGCCAACGACAAATAAAACATCACAAAGGTGCTGAAAGGCATAATGAATAATAATAAATTATGATAATTAACTGTCACGGAACGTTCGGTTTTCCAAGAATAGAATTCATCTTTCAAATGAAGACTTTTTTTCTTTCTCCCCGTTTAAAATGTTTTTTTTTTCTTTGGATACATTTCTGTTCAACTCCAGCAATGTTCCGTTTCAGGAGGAGATTTTTATGTAAAATACTGAAGCCAGTGTAAACATACAAATTCAAACATTAATTTTCTATCGATTACATGACATTCGAGGAATGTTTCAGGGTCAGTACAAGTTGAGCTGAAATGACAACATTTGCAACATTCTGTCGAGTATCACAAGAAATCATTTGAACTTATTCCTTAATTTGGCAAAAACGAACAAAAATGTAGTTATACATTTATTATGATTGCCTTTAGAGACTTCCATTGTAAGTGCATTTCTGTAAACAGGATTTTTGCTTGCTTTTACCAATATTTCATATTTCATTTTATTTTTTTATTGCTAAAATGTAAATTATTAGATGCTGCCCATAGAGTTTAACTTTTAATTTAACTTAAGCTGGAACATTCCTTCTCATATTTATATTGATTCATTTTTTGATTATTAAAATATAAATTCGTTTTAATTTCCTTATTTTTTATTTATTTAAAATGATTTACATTTTATAATTCATAGGTATTGTCTACATGCCACGGATGCTGTCCATAGAGCTTAACGGCTATTTAATGAACCTTTATTACACTTTATTTATGTATGTATGTATGTATGTATGTATGTATGTATGTATGTATGTATGTATGTATGTATGTATGTATGTATGTATGTATGTATGTATGTATGTATGTATGTATGTATGTATGTATGTATGTATGTATGTATGTATGTATGTATGTATGTATGTATGTATGTATGTATGTATATATGTATGTATGTATGTATGTATGTATGTATGTATGTGTGTGTGTGTGGGTGTGGGTGTGGGTGTGTGTGTGTGTGTGGGTGTGTGTGTGGGTTGAAAGTCAATTTTGGTATTCAACACTAAACTAAAGATCTGTGTTCAGTTCGGAGTTGAAATAATGGATGCCAACGACAAATAAAACATCACAAAGGTGCTGAAAGGCATAATGAATAATAATAAATTATGATAATTAACTGTCACGGAACGTTCGGTTTTCCAAGAATAGAATTCATCTTTCAAATGAAGACTTTTTTTCTTTCTCCCCGTTTAAAATGTTTTTTTTTTCTTTGGATACATTTCTGTTCAACTCCAGCAATGTTCCGTTTCAGGAGGAGATTTTTATGTAAAATACTGAAGCCAGTGTAAACATACAAATTCAAACATTAATTTTCTATCGATTACATGACATTCGAGGAATGTTTCAGGGTCAGTACAAGTTGAGCTGAAATGACAACATTTGCAACATTCTGTCGAGTATCACAAGAAATCATTTGAACTTATTCCTTAATTTGGCAAAAACGAACAAAAATGTAGTTATACATTTATTATGATTGCCTTTAGAGACTTCCATTGTAAGTGCATTTCTGTAAACAGGATTTTTGCTTGCTTTTACCAATATTTCATATTTCATTTTATTTTTTTATTGCTAAAATGTAAATTATTAGATGCTGCCCATAGAGTTTAACTTTTAATTTAACTTAAGCTGGAACATTCCTTCTCATATTTATATTGATTCATTTTTTGATTATTAAAATATAAATTCGTTTTAATTTCCTTATTTTTTATTTATTTAAAATGATTTACATTTTATAATTCATAGGTATTGTCTACATGCCACGGATGCTGTCCATAGAGCTTAACGGCTATTTAATGAACCTTTATTACACTTTATTATTAATAAAATTATTATTATTATTATTTATTTTTAACTTTATTATTATTAATTTAACCTGGAACATTCCTTAAAGGATCGAGGCAACAAAATCTTGAAGGATGTGCAATCAAATTATTCTGCAACCTTTATATTGTATATTTAAAAGTAAATGTTTCATATAAACTAGACAAAACTATACAGTAAGTAGTGCATAAAACACCAACAGCACACTGTGTGCTACATCCATCCTGACAAACCTACTTATGAAAATAAAGCTTGTTAACTCTGGATCTGGGATTGTGTAAAAACTCTCTATGGACACCATCATCTGAAAATGAGGTTTTAATCTCCAACAGCATCTGCAGGTTTCTTTCATCATGTGAAAGGAGCTTAATGGAGCCTAAACCCTGGAGAAATCCTCAGGGCAGTTGTTTGGCAGGGGCGAGTGCTGGGCTTCCTTCCCAATAATGAGCTATTAATGATTCTAGATGAGCGTGTTTCCAGGTTTCTAGAGTTGATTGAGCTGTAGAAATGTGTGAGTAAATGACATCCATTGAGCACTTGAGGTTTCCATCAGCCTCGTTACAGACATGTCGATTCTTTTTAGTTGTGTGCATTTGTCCTCAGGAAAAGGATAAAGTAATCTGCGCTATTTTCTCTGAATTTCCATAGTATTTTTCTATTATTTTTATTTATGAAGAAAAAAGATGAAGAAAATGCTACCATATAGCTTGCAACATCTGGTCATACGCTGTATTTGTATTTTCTAGAAATAAATAGAAACAATGAATCATTTTAGAATTAATATAATAAAATAATGATTTTTTATTTTAACTTTTAAAAAGTATTGAATTATTTCCATTATCATTATTTTGGCTATACAATGTACAACATTTTGGTCATATGCTGTACTTTTATTTTCTGCAAATAAAATGAAATATTAGTTTTGGAAATGAAATCATTTGAATTATTTGCACAATTATTTACTGTAATTATACAGTGTACAACATTTTGGTTTATTTGTTGTATTTTTACAAATAAGATGAAATAATGAATCACATTTTAAATGGTAATAACTTTTTCATTATTATTTATAAAAGTATGTAATTATTTCCATTATTATTTTTTGTAATTATATTGGCTATACAATGTAAAATATGTTGGTTTTACTTCATATTAATAAATTAAGTAATTTTTTAATGTAAAATTTTTTTTTTATATCTTATATTTAAAGATGTATATTTAAACAATGAACTAACATTATTAAATAATTATAATTCTAAACAATTATATCTTTTATTTATAAAAGAACAAAAATATTTATTAAATATCTTTTTGTGCAAAAATGTCACCATGTTGCTGGAGTTTTTCCATGATATGCATATTCTTACCTGAGATAATCTTGGAGCCAGAAACACAGACACCATTGGCACCGTCGCTAGTTGGTTGGGGTGGCGGCGGGCCGCTGGGTTTGGGTCGCGCTCGAGGGGTGGGCCTGGGGCGTGGCTGGGAGCCGTCGTAAGGAGGTGTCCCGGGAGGGGTGGGCGTTCTGGGAGGGGACGGTTCGGCTTCATCTGTGCTCTGGGAAGGAGGTTGAGGAGGAGGGTGGCTGGGGGCCTGGATGGGGGTCTGGTTGTTGCGACGGGATGCAATGAGAGACTGAGGGGAGCTCAGGGCTAAGAGTTGGTTAGGAGCCGCTTTTAAGCTCTGAGGTGTGGGAGGGGCGGTCTGTTTGGGAGGTGGCGGCGCTTGTTTCTTTGTACCTGAAAACAAACAGTCCAGACATGATTTTACTGACTAGACAACATGCATTTTAGGGATGCACTGATAATAACGTTTTAAATCATTCTTTTCTAATTAGTTAGCTGATAAATGTCCTAAAAACAAATAACTTTTTGTCTAAAATCATTTTCATTTTCATTGAATTTTAATTAACTGTTTTTTAACTAAGTTTGATTAAAAACAAAATATAAACACACAAAAAAGTGAATTTAGACATCACAACATTATAACGTAGCAGTGTTATTATAAAGCAATAAGCCCCAAGGAGCCGTGGTTTACAGTGAATTTAGAACAGCTAAGGGGCGTTGTTAGGCACGACGCGAAGTAATATAAATATAAAAATAGATGAAATGAGCATAAAAATTTACAATTTAATATATACATAAAATTAGATAAAATATATATACAAATATATACACCATTGTTCAAAAGTTTGGTGTTAGCAAGAATTATTGACTTTTTATAAATAAAAGTCTTATTTTCACCAAGGCTGAATTTATTATAGAAAACACAGTAAAAAGTGAAATATTGTGAAATATTATTACAATTTCAAATAACTGTTTTCTATTTGAATATATTAATTTTTTTTCCTGTAATGGCAAAGCCAAATTTTCAGCAGCCATTACTCCAGTCTTCAGTGACACATGATCCTTCCGTGATATATTTTGCACAGGATTCTTTGATAAACAGAAAGTCCGGCATTTATTTGAAACGGCAATACTGTCACTTTTGATCAATTGAATGCATCGTTGCTGAATTTTTGCAAACGTTCAAACGGCTCTAATATCACGCAATAAAATGTTAACAAAAATATGAGGATAAGCACAATTAGGACTGACCTCTGCGTGTCATGAATGGACTGGGGCCCTTAGGACCGGAGGTCGGGGTCCCCACATTCAGCTGAGTGGGCGTCCCGCTCGAACCTCCTGGTCCGTTCCTCATGGCAGGGGGTGTGGATGCAGGATCTCGGGTGATGAAACTGGGGAGAGAAGAAAAGCTTGTATCATGGGGTCACACTGCAGTATGTATGCACAGGTCAGTTCACATGCAGCGAAGTTAAAATGTAGTGGTGCAAGTTGAGTTCATGACTTGCACTGAAAAGTGAATACAGATATATAGTACATGTCTCAAGGAAATATAGTTAGCATAGTTAGCAGTGTTTTATTCGACATGCAGTGCATCTTTTCCACTAAAGAAAGAATAAGCAATAGAGAAAGGCAATGCAGGATACACAAATTCATGCAACAAAGAATATTAGACACCAGAAGGATTTTGGCCCTGACTGGGATGAATCGGCATGATCATTTGACGAATTATCCTTAACTTGAGATTTGAGAGGCATTTGCTCCAATCTTCCTCATTTGAAAAAATACAAATACAAAAAAACTTCATAATAAACTATATTGCATTTTTCATTCATTTTGAAACAAAAAGTCCTACACACAATCCCAGCACGCAAAAACTCTCGAAATGTATTAAGCAATTTTTTTAAATTGTCATTTAATTTTTTATTTATTAATTTTTAATTTTCACAGTTTCAGTTTAATTTTTACACAGTATATATTAAAACACAATTTACTGAATTCAGGTAAATTGGAACGCTTTTTTAATTTTTGTTTTTTATTAGCCATTATGACGGCTGGGAAAATTTTTTCCAAATTATCCTGAATTAACCCTATATATGTATATATGTATATATATATATATATATATACACACTTA